AGTCCCTTCTCCTCCATTCTCCTCTTGGGATCTTGGGCTCACACGCATATGCACCAGGAGTGAGTTTAAGCCACCAGGTCCAGGGCTTGAACTGCTGTCGACTACATGGGAGTCCAGCGACATAGCCATTACACCAACTGCTGGTAGTGCCAAAACTGATTTTCTTATCACTTCTTTTATCCACCAGCCCCTGACCACATTACCTTATAGTTGATGACCTTAATATCTATTTATGGCCAACCCTCTCACCAATGTCACCTTTCCTGGGGGTTTTCAATGTCCATATAAATAATTGACCCCATTGTAAGGCATCTCAATTCCTGGACTGGCTCACTGTCAATAATTTCTCTTCCATACAACCTTAATCATATTTTCATATGATCATAACCTTATTCTTGTCTTCTATGACATCTTGATTTTGAGTCATTTCTTTGTCTCTTTACTGTATTTCCAGAATTATCTGATTTAGCATGTAGTAGGTGATCAATAAAAATTTATTGAATGAATACATGTATTCATGGTGTGTGTGTGTTCTGATGGTACCAGAGAGTGAGGGTATACAGAAATGTGTTTTATGGTATCTCTTTTCCCTTGAAAGGTAAATTTGCAAGTAATCTGTATCTGCTTTCTCCACATCCTCACTTATCATGTAATTCTTAAACTACTACAATCTGGTTTCTCCCTAAACACTGAACTGAAAATATTCATGACAAGGTAATTAGTAAGCTTAAAATTAATAAGCTTAATGGTCTATTGTTCCATTTTATTTATTTTTACTCTTTCAGTGTTTTTCTTAGATTTTTTCCCCTTTGGTACTCTTTGAATTTATTATTCTTCATTTTATCTTCATGAGATAGGTGCTTAGGTAATTGATTCTCAGCTTTCTTCCTTTCTAAAGTACGGATTTAAGTATCCATTTTTCATCAAGCATCACTAACTCAGCATATATATTTTAATATGTATAATTTATCTTTCAATTCAAAATATTTTCCAACTTCCATTTTTTTTTGGGGGGGGGGAGAGGTTTTTCCTATAGGGCACGTGTGCTCTCCAGAAAGACAGAGAGAGACAGAGAGACAGAAAGTGAGAAATCATCCCCTGGGGGGATGGCCACGCTGCAATCCCTTCTCCTCCACTCTCCTCTCAGGATCTTGGGCACATATGCACATGCACCTGGCGTGAGTTTAAGCCACCAGGTCTGGGACTTGAACCATGATTGACTACATGGAAGTCCAGTGACACAGCCATTATGCCAACTGGTCCCCCAACTTCCATTTTTGATTACTGAATTATTTTAGAAATATATTGCTATTTTGACACTTGTGGAGATTTTCCCAGTATGTATGTATGTATTTATTTATATGTTGTGATTTTTTAAGCCAGCAGGTTCGGGACTTAAATTGCAGTCAGCCAAGTGGGAATCCAGCACCCCAACCATCATGTTGTGTGCTGGCCCTCCAGTTATCGTTTTATTATTGATTTTTCCCTAATTCCATTTAATCAGATAGCATAATTTGTATGGTTTCAGTCCTTTGACATTTGTTGTGACTTACTTTATGGCCCAGCTCATGTAAACCTGTAGAAATATTATTTCTGCATTTGAAAATTATGTTTTCTGAATTTGTTGGTATGGGGAATTGGTTAATTATAGGATGCCTTAAATTTCTCACATCATAAGAATTATCTAGGGTGGTTATTAAGAGTACAAATTCTTGTGTTCCATTTCGAACCTTATAAATATTTTAGGCATCCTTATTGACCTTTTTGTCTGCCTTTTCTCTATTAGTTATGAAGACAGGTGTGTTAAAATATCTCATGATGAATGTGGGTTTGTCTATTTCTTCTTTGTTTTTGTCAAATTAATCTTTGTGGATTCTGAGGCCGTGTTGTAATTGCATACATATCTATCATTGTTATATCTCCCATTGAATTTAAACTTTTAGTTATAAAATATCCCTATTTCTAGTAATACTTTTTGTCTTAAAGTCTACTTTAAAGCTAAACTGACTTTGCTAGGGTGTATCTTTATCCATGTCCTTAATTTTTTTAAGTTTATTTTATTTCTTCCATGAGAAAGAGAAAGAACCCCTCTCAGCCCCAACGGGGTCTTGATGCCATGATCTACCAGCCTCAGCAAGCCGGGATCACAGGTCTGTGTGTCTGGTATATGCAGAAGTGCCTTAAAGACACAAACTCGGGCCTTCACGTGTAAATTTGGTATCATGAAGTTATGGGTTACTGTTGTACCACTGTAGCTGGTCCACACTCTAAAAGTCTTCCATATCCTTCTATTATAGCCGTAGTATTGATTGCAGGCATGATGGAGTTGGGCTTTAATTTAATTTTTTATTTTATCTGAAAATCTCTGTCTTTTAATAGAAGTATTCAGTTTATTTTTATTTATTATATTTACTGATAAGTTGAGTTTAATCTATCACTTTTTCATTGCTTTCTATTTCTCTTTCTTGTTCTTTATCCCCCTTTTCTTTCAGATTTTGTTATTATTCTGTATCTCCCCCATTAGCTTATTAGTTATATTCTTTTATTCTTTCTAGTCTTTAATGGATGTTATTTCTATTTTGCCAGACATTGCTAATTAATTTCAGAACTCATTCTCACAGAGCCCAGATACAATCTAAGAACCCTCCACATTCCATTCCAGAAACATCCTATCAATTATTCAGGATTGGGAATCAAAATGAAACTCATTTCCCATCTGTGATCTTGGATAGTATGTAATCAGTAAGCCAGGATAAGATTTTTAAAATTTCTCTCATCCTAAGAATTACCTGGAGTGTTTATTAAGAGTACAGGTTCTTGTGTTCCATTTCAAACTTTAAGATTTAGCATGTGCAGTGAAGTTCACTGGGAATTAGTATCACTAGAGTGCCAGGTGAGTCTAATTATGATAAGGCAGTTTGGGGAAACATGGATAGTATTAGAGCTCCAAAAATGGTTGTCAAATGATTTCAACCGCCTACTGACTAATAGGCAGCTACAGAGTTGTTTTATTTTGGTACCATTTATATGTTGAAATATTATTATCACTACTAACATTTCCTGGATGGCACTAGTGACCCCGAACTTGCGCCACTGTGTGCTGGACTCCTATGGATGAGGTTAGTACCAACAGGAAGGCGAGGAGGAGAAATGAGTTCCAGAAGCCAGCACATGGCATTAACAGTTACATTGCTAGACTCCAGTTGTTTTACTTTGGTACCATTTATATGTTGAAATATTATTATCACTACTAACATTTCCTGGATGGCACTAGTGACCCCGAACTTGCGCCACTGTGTGCTGGACTCCTATGGATGAGGTTAGTACCAACAGGAAGGCGAGGAGGAGAAATGAGTTCCAGAAGCCAGCACATGGCATTAACAGTTACATTGCTAGACTCCCACATGGCCAATTGTGATTTGAGTCCTGGACTCTGGTGACTTGAAAATCACACAGGCACATGTGCCTGTGTGCCCAAGATCCCAGGAGGAAAATAGAGAAGGGATTGTGGTGTGGCCATCCCTCCTGGAGGGGTGATTTCTCACCCTCTCACTGTCTCTGTCTCTCTCCAGTGAGCACACATGCCCTAAGGCAAAAACCTCTTTAAAAAGGTAATATACAACAAAGAGGATTATTTGTGTTTGTTTTCCTTAGGCTGTGGGAATAGGAAATGTTCCTGAGAGGTAGTGAAAAGTAGGGGACACGGTAACCAGCAGAATATATTTCTCTCTTCCAGCCCAGAGTGTGTGTAGACAACCTTTTGACAGATATGGTCAGGACTCATTGATGTCATAGGCATGTAAACTCAGAACCAATGCTCAGCTTTACATCTGGATATAGGAAAGTATTAAGGCTGACAGAACATTTTGTTTCCAACAGAGTAGCGTATAACTCTGATTTCACCAGCAGGTTTATCAAAATTTTGAGATTTTGAAAAATATCTTGCATCCATTGCATGTAAAATGTTAACTTCAGTTCACTGGCAATATTATTACAGGTGGTAACATTTTCCATATCAAAGGGCATGTTTTTCTCACAGAGTCTGAAGCAGGAAACAGGTGCAAGCCTTCTGGTATTCTAATGTATAAGATTGGGTTATGAGCCAAAGCCATGCTCTCTAAACATGTCAACACGCAGGAATTGCCTAGAGAGTAGTACAGATACGGACACCTGTGCCCCATCCTGAGCCTGGCATTTAATTGGTGTGAGGTGTGGCCAACCCTTGGGAGGGTTCAAAAAAAAAAAATCCCCATGTGATTCTAATTTACAAATAAGTTTGGGAACCACTGAGCCTGAGCTCTCGAGTTATGTACTTGAAACTCAAACCTAAGCTAAAAAGCTTAGGCTTCTATATTAAAGTTTAAAGTCAAGAAAATGAGATCAGCTTAATTGAGTTTATCAAGTTGCAGTCTATGTGGATAGGGCATTAATTTTATAAAGCCAGTGGAATTGCTGAAAACCAATTAAATCAGTTATGTGTGCACACAAAGTTAGACACAGAAAAAATAGTATTGTTGCTCAAAAGAACCAGGATTTTAAAATAAGTTTGTCAAATTCAGTATATATACCCAATTAGGATTGCCAGATAAAATACAGGGAGCCCAGTTAAATTTGAATTTCAGATATCACATATTTTAGTTTAAGTACATCCGTGCAATATTTGGGACATGCTTATATTAAAATTTGTTTGTTGTTTATCTGAAAATCCAGTTTGATTAAATGTCCTGTAATTTTTTTGTACCAAAATGTATTTTTTTAATTTTCTTTTTTAATTTCCTTTTTTTTTTAGATTCAATTAGTATACATCTTTATAGTGATTTGCTAAATCTCATAAGCTAAAGGACTAACCCGAGCAGTAATGCACTGTACTAGGACAAATCAGGACAAAAACTAACCTTTGCTACTTGCTTGCTTATCACATGCCCTTCTGTTTTCCGAATTACATTGCTTCTTTAACCCCATCAAGCCTCACATGATTTTGAATTGAGAGCCAACTCTACCTTATTCTGCCTCTTCTGTCTTCTTCGGAGGCGCAGGAACTCCTTGTGTTGCCTGGAGACAAAGTTCACTGCAGCATATTCCAGTAAGGCAGCAAACACAAACAGAAGGCACACCGCCATCCAGATGTCAATCGCTTTTACATAGGAGACCTGAAGGGGAGAGAGGGGAGAGACAGAGAGAAAGAGAGAGAGATGTTATGAAAGCTTATGGGGAAGCCAGATTCCTAATGGAGTGGGCAGCAGAATAACCCCATTTCTTTTGTCAAGGATTTTCTAGTCTTTTCTTAAGAAATCGATTCAGCCTTGAAGATTCTGGACAGAGTAGTGAAAGTCACACATCTCCCTCCCCCCCTTACCCTGGGCCCTTCTTCCATCTCTCAGTATAGCCCACCTGTTCAAGTAGCTTCATCCCTGAGGCCACCTCCACAAATGAATACAAGAATTCCCTTAATGAGAGTATATTTGACATGTTCTCATCACCTACACAAAAATAAGTGTATAGGGGTAGCACATATGTTAAGTAGCTTGATTTTAACCATTCCACAATGTACACATACATAAATATAGTTGTTTGTTTGTATCTGCCAAGAATTGATTCTAGGACCCCCACCTAAATCTAAGGATGCTCAAGTCCTTCACACAAAATAGCATAGTGTTTTCATATAACTTATAACAAGCCTCCCTTATACATTAATTCTTCTCCAGATCATTTATAATACCCAATATGATGTGAATATTTGTTATACTGTGTTGTTATTTAATTTGTATAATTTATTATTGTATTGTTATTGATTATTTCGCCTTTCTGAATATTTCCAACCATAATAGGCTAAATCCATGCATGCAGAGCCCATCGATAAGGAGGGCTAACCATATAAAGAAATTTTACTTGTCAATTAAAAAGTAACAATAATTCCCTTAATGGAAAAGGGAAAACAAAACTTTAAAGTAAAATAGAGTGGGCACAATTATTAAAACTGCTTGGAGCCAGCAGATGTTACAGTGGTAACGTCATTGGATTCCCACATTGCTGACTGCGGTACAAGTCCCATACCTAGTGACTTGAAAATCACGCTGGGCACATGTGTGTGCACGTCCAAGGTCCCGAGAAGAGAATGGAGGAGAGAGGATTGCAACATGGCCATCCTCCCAGGGATTGATTTTTCACTTTCCTTCTCACTGTCTCTGTCTCTCTCCTTTCAGCCAGTTAATGCACCCTAAGGCAAAACCTCTTTATAAAACAAATGAACAAAACTGGCTTGCTTCTATTATTTTTTTATAACTTTTTTTTGAGAGGTTTTTGCTATAGAGTGCGTACGCTCTCCAGAAAGGCAGAGACAGAGAGTAAGAGAGTGAGAAATCACCCCCGGGGGGGGATGGCCATGCCGCAGTCTCTTCTCCTCCATTCTCCTCTGGGGATCTTGGGCATGTGCGCACACGTGCACAGTGTGAGTTTTAAGTCACCGGGTCTGGGACTCAAACCATGGTCGACTACATGGGAGTCCAGCGACATAAGCCATTATACTAACTGCTGGTCCCAGTAATAGCCACTTTTGGTCAGTGAATAAGCAATTTTATTTTCTTAATTTTACTGGATAGATGGCAGCCACATGAAGTACTTTCCAGAGACATATTTCCCAAGGAGTTTTTTAAAGGAGGATAGTTCTTGAAGGTCTTTGTTTTGTAGCTTAAATTTTTAAAATTTCATTATACTTAACAAAGAATTCTAAAGTTTGTTATTGTTACAAGTTTAGACTCATTTTCTCATGTGCTATTGCTAGTTTTCTCCCTCTATCTCTTTCTCCCATGTTTTTAATCTTTTGCTCATTTCTTTAAGCCCCTTAACTTTAAAACTAAAGATAATTCCAAAATTTGGATGATTAATTATGTATGGTCTTAGGCTCTTCAAAAACTAGTTTTTAATTTACTGAGCCTAATTTATATAAAAATACAGTTCTACATCACTTTATTTTCTTAAAGAGATTTTTTGCTATAGGGCACATGTGCTCACCAGAGAGACAGAGAGAAAGAGAAAGTGAGAAATCACCCCCCACCCCCAGAGAGGATGGCCATGCCACAGTCCCTTCTCCTCCATTATCCTATTGGGATTTTGGGCATGCACGCACATGCACCTGGCATGTGTTTCAAGTTGCTTGGTCCAGGACTCAAACCATGGTTGGCCATGTAGAAGTCTAGCACCTTGTCTACTATGCCACTTGCTAGCTCCTCTAAATGATTTTAAACTCTCATAATACAAGTGTATTCAACTAACATGAGACATTAGGGCCCTAGCCTTGAGAAAGTATCTGCTTACAAAGGAAACTATTTAAAATCTTTAGTGTTTGATTGAATATTTAATAAGTCTTATAATTTGACAAAACAAATTTTGAAAGCAAATACTTTTTAGTTGTTATGGAAAATACCACTTATGTCATTTGACTTGCAACTGTTTTTAAAGTATAGGAGGGGTGAGTCCAGCAGATGGCATGGAAGTTAAGGCATCTAGATCCCATATGACTGGCTGAGCAATTCGGGTCTCAGACCCGGCGGTTTAAAACATACACTGGGCACATGTGTGTGCATGCCCAAAATTCTGAGAGGAGAATGAAGGAGAAAGGATTGCAGCATGGCCATCTATCCTGGGGGATGATTTCTTACTTTCCCTCTCTCTCTGGTGAATGCATCTGCCCTATAACAAAATATTTAAAAAAATAAAATATAGGATTGAAAATTAACTGGATGAAGCTGTAGCATATTAGATCTTAGTCTACAAAAGACACTCCTTTAGCTGCCAGTGGAATGTGTACTCTCCAGTTCCAAATTTTAAATAGGGTTTCCTATTTTTTCATAATAGGTGCTCTCCAGCCAGTATATTAAGTGATACACATATATTGTTTTTATTCCTTATAACACTTGTGTTATCCCCATTTTTTGGATGAGGAAACTGGCATAGAGAGGGGTTAAATTATTACCCAAGCTCAAAAAACTAATCAGTGGCAGAGCCAAAGCTAGAGTTGGAACTCAGTTTGACTAGTGAATTTCCTTTCTAGATGCACGTAGACACATTTCTAGGAGCAGTTTGTATCTTCCATTTTTCTTTGAGCTTTATAGTAAACATTTCTCATAGCATTTAACTTTCTTCTAAATAGTAATTCCCACTGGTTGCATTGTGGTCCATACCATGATTAATCATTCCAGGTTATAGAACAGTTGGGTTATTTTCTATTTTATTTTTATGACTATAAATTTTAGCTGCTATGAACATTCTTCTCCCAAATATTGGCACCTCTGATTATTTGTTAGATTAATTTTTAGATGAATTGCAGCAATGAATGATATGGATTCAAGTTCCTGACTTAGAAAGTTAGTTGCAGTACAGAGGACATGAGAGGAAGGAGGAGGAAGATGCTCCAAGAAAGAAACATTGCTCTGCCTGTGACGATATCTATCATTTTGCCAGCTATTTGCCTCTCTCCACTTCCATTATTCATCTATAAAATAGGACCAATAATATTAGGTTGTCGGGAAAGTCATGACATAGTTTTCTATGCAAAAATGCATTATGACTTGCCCGACAACCCAATAGTACCTACCTCATAGCATTGCTATGTGGATACAATCACTTAATGTATTAAAGTGCTTAGAAGAGAGTCAGGCACAGAGTAAGTGCTGTATAAATGTTTGCAATTATTTGGCTACATAAGGGTATAATTTTGCTAATAGATTTTTTTTTTAAGAGAGATTTTTGTTCTAGGTTGTGTGCACTCACTGGAGAGGCAGAGAGAGACAGAAAGTGAGAAATCACCCCCCAGGGGAGATGGTCACGCCGCAGTCCCTTATCCATTCTCCTCTCAGGATCATGGGCACACACATACACATGTCCAGCGTGAGTTTTAAGTCTCCGGGTCTGGGACGCGAACTGTGGTTGACTACATGGGAGTACAGTGATGTAACCATTTCACCATTTGCTGATCCCACTAATCGATAAACTTTGAAAGACACAAAAATTGGGTCAACCTGTGGCCTGGTGATTATGTGAGCTATATCTCACATGGCTGACCACGTGGTTCATGTCCCGGACCCGTGGCCTGAGAAACATGCCAGGGGTATGAGTGCATGCCTGAAATCCCAAAAGGAAGGAGAGGTGGGTTGTACTGTGACCATTCCCCATTGAGGTTGCTTTCCTACTCCACCCCCCCCCCACTCCCCGCAACCTTCTGTCTCTGGCAAGTGCATACACCCTCTGGCAAAATTTTAAAAAAATAAATATTCCCTTTTTAGTTTTTTTTAAATAAAAAGACAAAAGTAAGAAAAATAAAAATCACCCGTAGTCCTAATATATTCCAGTCACTATTTTTAAGATTACTGCCTGCCTTTCACTATTTGTCTCAAGCAATCTGAAGTATTTATCAGTCCCACATAAATTGTAACAAAGTGGTCCACCACTCTGCCATATCCAGCCTTTTAAATATATCTTTTTTCCTACCTGGCATGCTTATTTACATTTTATTTTTAGAGGTATTTTTGCTCTGGGGTGTGTGTGCTCACCAGAGAGACAGAACAAAAGTGAGGCATCAATCCCCTGGGGTATGACCATGCCATAATCCTTTCTCCTCTCAATATTTTGTCCACATGCCCTAATGTGAGTTTGTTTGTTTGTTTGTTTCTTTGTTTTTAGAGGTTTTTGCTATAGGGCACGTGCACTCACCAGACAGACAGAGAAAGACAGAGGGATAGCAAGCGAGAAATCACCCCCCGGGGGGGGATGGCCACGCCACAATCCCTTCTCCTCCATTCTCCTCTCAGGATCTTGGGCACGCACGCACACGCGCCCGGCATGAGTTTAAGCCACCAGGTCCGGGACTCGAACCATGGTCAACTACGTGGGAGTCCAGCAACATAGCCATTATGCTAACTGCTGGTCCCCCCTAATGTGAGTTTTAATCAGCTGGGTTCAGGACTTGAACTGCAGTTGGCCTTGTGGGAGTCTGGTGCTCTAACCACTATGGCACCTACTGGCCTCATCCATTTTTTTTTCCTGATTAACAGACTGGTCAGGATCCTTCAGGACTTGGCACAGTTACCATGGCCCTCTGGGAAGCCTCTCTGACTTTCTCCTTTCTCCCATCTAGGTTAGGGCCACTTTTCTT